CCCTAATGTTAACCTCAGACCCCCGACCCAAAGACCCCTGGTGGCGCAACCCGAAAAAGCCGCGGGCGGCAAGGACTGACGCGAGGGGGGTACCTGATGCGTCAAAATTGGACGCAAAGGGGCCTTTGAAAAACGTCAATATGTGACGACTCGGGAGTGAGAATGTGTTGATTAATCCCAGCAGGCGGACTGACTGGAGATTTCCCCGGTCAGTCCACTTGGTGCTGCTCTCCACTTCAAATATGATGAACATAAAAAAAAGTTCTGTAATTTATTTATCTATCAACACAATTTAGAATTTGATGTATARCCTGAAGTCTGTAATTTTTACACAATTTGAAAAAGATTTTTTTACGAAGMGCAAATCTTTCCCACTAAATTTGTCATGTGACTAGGACGGGTGTCCAGGGAYTCCAGGGCATTAATCGTCAAATTAATCGTTATCGGCTAAATACAACAATAAATCGTGATTAATTTTTKTGCCAAWATTGCCCAACCCTAGCTTGGACCAAGTTTTGAATTGGGCCCTCCTTGTGTAACTGAGTTTAACACATCTGTCTTAGATAATCCTTCAATATCAACACTCAGATGAAGTAAAGTAACTGAAAATTACCTTAGGGAAATTCAGAGCTTTTTGATGCTGGTTGGTGTGGAAACATTTAGCATCTTAATTGTTACACATGATTCTTCAAAGACCCAGTTTGGAGAATTGGTTTTGTTCTGTCCAGACCGATGAAACATGTAACATAAAACTAATATGAAGCTTTGTAAAGTAGCATTTACAAGAACAAGTGTGAAATATCAATCAGAATTAAAATATTYCTTCAAACTTGGGTCATTCAAAGAGCTATCTACAGCAGGTAAGATATTTATTGTTCAGAATCATTCCRTATTTCACACAGATTTATTAGATTTGCACCTTTAGAAGAAGAATATCTGCTCTTATGATTCCTGCTTGTCTTCATATTGCCACAGTAAAGTGCAACATGTACCTCAAGCTCACTTCACTTCCTGTTTCTCGTTATTGACTGGGTTCGTTCGTGCTTTCCACCTTTCAGATTCTCACGATGCAGTTTTACGTTTCAACTCTGCACCGACAGACGGATATGAGCGAGATGTGGGAAACACAACTACAATCCGCATTATCAATTCACAGGTAGGTGGGAGCTGGAGCCTGGGTCACTCAGAATAATTATTACCCGTACTTGCATGTTGATTTGTTTTGCATGTATAAAATATTTACGTCTGAGAGGCATGCGATTCATGACAACGTTGTAAACCTTTTGAAGCTCGTGCTTTCTTAGACATAAAAGCTGCTTAGAAGATATTCATTAAAAAAGTTATTAAAGCGTCCACCACTGAGTCAGCAGGAGTTCAGAAAGGTAACAACCGTCTCGAATCATTCTGAATCATTTTGAAAATACTGCAGAAAATGACCTTCTGGAATATATATTTTTATTTAATGAATGTCTTCATTTTCAGATGTCAAGGTCCAGTGATTTTATTACCAATGACTGCAGCCCACTCAAATATGTACCGTTCAGCTTCAGCTCTGTATTCTTGTTCAGTCCCGAGGTTCTGTTGTTTGTTTGTTTATTTTATTTTATTTTTTTGCCTTTGCCACATCTCGGAGCTTTTTAATTATTTAGAAGGATTGGTGCAAAGTCAAATGAATATCTCAAATTTTTTTGGCACTGCGGCATCATTGATTTTTACACTCCTTTTATTTATAAAAAGCACTTTAAAAATAAACTTTATTGGCCAAAGTGCTGTACAGTACTCCAGTAAAAAGTTTTAAAAAATGTGTAATATGTCAAGACAAGAATAAAACAAACGCTGTTAAAAAATACACAAAAGCAATCAAAGGATGAAACAATAAGAACAATAAAAGCCAACATCATGAACTGAGTGCAGTGTCAAGAGGGAAAAAATGTTTTAAGAGAGCGTTTAAAAGCAGGAAGTAAGTCGACTTGTTTAATGAGCAAAGGCAGCTCAGTTTGAGGGCAGCGACTGAAAAACGCCCGGCCACCTCTTAACTAGGGGTGGGCAATACAGCAAATTTTGTATCAATCCATATTAAGTAAAAATTACACAACTAATGTTGCCGATGCAGATACTTTACTTAAAATGCCATCTTCAGTGAATATTTTTGTGAGTTAGCACATTATGATAAAACAGGACAGTGATTTTAGGCAAATACAYTTGTGTTGTATTAACTGACTGCATAAATATAAAACAGTGTACCGGTATAAAAATAATAAAATAATTCCCCTATTACCTTCTACTACATACAGTTTATGGAAAAAGTCTCTAGTGCAAATAACAAGAAAAAAAGCAACAATGTAAAAAAAATCTATATAAATATAACAAAGTTAACAAAACACAAATAGGAAGAGTTTCATATAATGACCAACTCTACATGATTTGGAGACTCTGCACTTTATTTTTCACTCTATTTGAGAAAAAAATAGTCAGTCGTGCAAAAAAGAGATAAACAAAAGTATTGATCTCATCATGTGAGAGTTGATTCTATATCGATGCTCATCTTGGCATCGATATTATTCATACTCAGATCGATACCCCTGCTCCTAACCTCCTCTTTGTCTTTGGGGTGACCATCTGCTGACCTGTGAGAGCACGAGGGGACATACAGCAGGTTGGACAAGACCATAAAGACATTTAAAAACAATTAATTAAAAAATAAATAAAATCAATCCAGGAACAAGCGGGGAGTAAGGCGAGCAGCAGCAGCACTTTGAACTAGCTTAAGCCAAGCCAGTGAGGAGTGGCTCCGTTACAATTAAAGAACACAATAATCTGAATGAGCTGAGATAAAAGCCTGGATTAAAATCTCAAAGTGATGCCGTCAACAAAGTGTTTTGACCTCGAGTTGTCTTTGGTGATAAAAGCTGGACCTGATCGCTGATTTAATTGATCAGTGTTCAGTCTCACGCCCAGGTTTGTCCACCTTTRTACCTTTTAGGCAAAGTTTTTGGTAAATTCTCACACATTTTCTTTGTGCATTTTATTTAGATTAAAAAGCTAAATGTGCACTGTGTGACGTTAAATTCATCTGAAATACTTGTTTTTTTTTACTACAGTAGTTTGGATATTTTGCGTTCTGTAGAATGGTTATGAAAAGTTAATATCTTACCTGCTGCAGATGGCTTCTTTGAACGACCTCAGTTTAAAGTAACAGATTACTTCTGACTTGATTGAAAAGTCAGTGGTGCGTCCAAGCAGAGCTAAGACAATATGGATGTGGATTCTCTTAAATAAACAACTCCAGTCTTCRTTATTTTACAGCAGTTTTTGAACACACAGTTTTATAACGATTTAATTACCATCTGTCTCCTACTACTCAGTGATTCCTTCAGAAATATTAGGATATTCTTGCTAGAAGTGCTCAATGCTGCACAGGAGTTACAGAGAGTTACAATCCAAGCTGTTTAGACTCGTAATGAACCACAAAGTGATATAAAGGTTAAAAYGGTATAAAAAGATTGAGAGTAAAGTTGTTTTARTAGTTTGTTCATCAATCCAGTAAAATTTAAACTATTTCTTCAAACCAAGACTGGTCAAAAATTGATCTACAACATGTAAGATATTATCTGTTCACAACCTTTCCACAGGTTCATTAAAAGGACCTGGGATGTTGCTTTGYGTTGTTAATTTGTTGAAAGTAAGCACAGTATGTCGTATTTTCTCTTTACAGATTTTGGCAAATCCGACCTATCAGTTCAACACAAGCTCCATCTATAAGAATGTAACTCTGGTGGCCTGGGACCCCACACCGTACTCTGTTAATTTACACAAGGTAAACAAASTCAGCTGACTACACATCTGTTTTTATAGATGTTACACTGATGCATTTAAAAACACACACAAAAAAAAACACATCTGAAGGGCAAATAGAAAAGACAGTGAACAGACATGTTTCTTTCTCATGTTATAGTAATGGCAGAGGTCATTTCAAGCATGGCATCAGAGCTGATGTTCGCAGTGAAGTCATCGCTCTCTTTGTTTCATATGTTGCTTTTCTCATTTGTCTCTGCTCTCTAAATGACTTCTACATGCTGTCAGACAAGCTGTGACTTATTTTCCCACTTATGTTGGTTTTATTGTCAGTCCTTTCCTCCCTTTTTGTTCTCCTCTTTTGTCATGCGTTCTTTTATTGTTTTTGCAGGAAATGCTGGTTTGTCAACATCCTGTCAGATCCTGGACTTCTGCTTTTAGATTTGCTTATGAAATTGATTAACGTTTTTGCTTTGTGTGAATGTGCCTTCTGAATGATTGAAATTGTTTGAATGTTTTTTTTTATCATGGAATATGAAAAAAAAAGGCCCAAGGATTATTAATTTTTTATTAACTTTTGTTCTGATTGGGGTTAAACTACAATAGCCTGTCCTTTCAACTGAACACTGATTGTCACACAATACAGTGTTCTATAATTCAACACTTCTAGATTAAAACTTTCATTGTAAAGCATGAAATCGAACATACCCAAGGTTTCTCTTGAACTATTTGCTATAGTTTCTATTGTTCAGCTATACTGCATTAGTTTTAAAAACTTATTTGTAAACTTTTTTCAAATTTGAGCATAAATACGGTCCAACTCATCAAAACTGTACGACATACCGTCAAACCTAAGCTTTGCATTGCTGAAAATTTAAACAAAATTACTTAAAAACAAGTTGACTAGAATTTGATTAAGAGTTGTGTTCCACAGCTGAGAGAGGACATTAAACAAAGGAAAGCTGATGCAGAAACAAAGATACTGAATGATTTTTTATTTTAAAGACAAAGGACTTTTGTAAAGTAGTGACGTACAAATCAATACTGAAATATCGATACACCAATACCAGAACTTTGTTCACTAAAATTTATTCTAAAATCAAAATATCGAAACTTTGACACTTCAGTCATTTCAGGTAATGTATTTCATTAACGGGAACACAGTGAAAAGTAACTAAACTATTGAAATCTTGTCTAAATTATATGCAGTTGGTGGGAACTACTTTTTCTTCCGCCTTGGTGAAATGCAAGTGCAGCGGCATGTGCTCAGTCAGACACTTAGATATTACATGTTCAGTATTTTCATGTTAACATCATCATTTAACATAAATTAAGACTTGCATTTCTATTTTTTATATTAATTATTGAAATTTAAACAATAATTGTATTATTACTTAATTATTTTCAGAAACAATGGGCCTCATGCAAGAACCGTTCGTACGCACAGATTTGTTCTTAAGTTGTGCGTACGAGTG